GGGGGGGGGGGGGGACAGTGTCAAATCTTTTGCAATTATCAAACTAAAAGGTCTTTATGACATTATACTGTAGGCAACTTTGTTTTCCAAAAGATTGATTGAGCCCAAGGGTGGATTTTCATTTTTTTAAAGGAGAGGTGGAAAGATTTTAGTGGGGGCAAGTAGCAAAATAGTTGGGGTGAATTTCTAGGGCCCCACCCCCCTGTATATGTCCCCATGCCTGTCTGGGATCGGCCCACAGTGATGATGCATCCTGCCTCATCAGGTCAGGGCCTGCTTTATGACCAGCAGCAGTTTAGCAAACCTCGTTCGGGCCTCATACCACATCAAGTTATATGCATGAGGGAAAGTAGCTTAATGTTTCAACTATTATTTCCACTGGCAATTGTCACCTATATCCCATATGAATTAGTGGTTTCCAATTACTTAATTAGTATATTGTATGACTAGCATCGTATACCTGAAGCACTGCAACAGCTGCATGTGTACAAAACAGTATGAAGTATAAAAATACAGATATGCATGCTATGTGCATTTGCAGTGAAATGTTTTTTATAATATGGACATATGCACAGTAACCAGAGCAAAAAGAAACTGATTCGACGTAAATGAATTGTATTTACAAATGTTCAAATTCTTCCTTGAAAATTTAAAAATAGTGCTTTAAAATTTTGCATGTACCTACTGTATATTAACGTGTTTTGAACAGGTAGGCCATCATTCCAAAGACGAAAGCAGTCACTTTCAATCAGTTTAATATTATAATAGCTTTAAATTATGCTCACTCCTGAGTCCAATACATGTGCATATTTACATAATAATAATTTAAATAACAGCTATTAAATACGATATTACACTTACCATGTTATCTTTCTTTATATTTGACAATGTTTTGCCTCGTCACACAGCCAAAAATCCAGTAAAATTCTGTTATTTTTCTTCGTATTTTTGAGAAACTTTTAAAACCAAAAAATTTCCTCTTAAACAACTACAGTGGAGGAATCCAAAACATAAGTTTAGTCATATGGTCATAAAGCTAGAAGGACCATCCAATGTGTCACCGAACTCCTTATACTCTTGTGCTAAGCTTTTTTGAAGGCAACGACTCTAATGGTATTTATGATATCTATTTATTTTAGTAAAGGGGAAGACATGATCAACAGAAGTGTTTCTGTAGAAGTCAAAGTTATTCCCATTGTTGCAGTTTCACCGTTATATGTTGTTGCTACTGAAGGTAATTTAATACAAATCCCTCGCAAGACCATGCAGTGGCTCATTCTTGAATGAGATCTTGCTACTGGCTGTCTGGAAGTCAGGCCTGTGCTGAAAACTCACCAAGGAAGGTCTTACCAATTACATACACCATGGTCAAATTTAGGAAAAAAAATTTCCCACTCGTGCGGGCTCATATTGTCAGCGGACATCTTACAGAAATTGGCAGTTCTGTGCAAAATGCAAAGGTTCCCCAAGTCCGTTGAGAATGCGAGCCTGCGGTACTAGGAGAAAATTGGTTGAATATTACCAGCGTGATAGGAAGATCGAACACAAGCTATATATGTCAGTTGCCACTTAATTAATAACTTTCGTAACTCTCACATGTCTAGTTACCACAGTTCTGGAAACATAAGCATAGAATGGAGCACAGGAAGTGGGTATAAAAATGCGTTAGTTTCATTCAACGTCGTATTTCTTGAACGGAACGTGCACTCCAACCAAGTCTTTGTTTAATTCTTCGAAAATGTCCAATTTCATAAAATGTTTTCTTAATTTAATTATATTTCCATCCAGGTGATCCAGTGACCTTAAAGTGTAATGCTGGTGATGAAGAAAATCTCGAAATTATGTGGCACAACTCCACACAGTCTGGTAGTTTTGGTCGAACTAGAGAACTATATTTGTCCAATATCAAACTGCCTGTTGGTCACTTGAGATACGCGGTAGAATATTGGTGTGTTGCTACAAATTCAGGCGTTATCGGACGAAGCCAGAATGTTACAGTACATATATTATCGAAAGGTGAATCTGCTATTCTGCTTAGGCTAATGGTATCGTTGGTGTCAGTTGGCGTTAAAGCGCAGTAGATGGTCGTCAACATCAGAAATGTTGGCGGCTTCTAGCAGCAACTTAATTAAACTAAATCCCTCAATTTGATTTGCCACCAAAAACAAGACGAATACATATCATGACAACATTTTATCAATAACAACATTTTCTCATTTTGATATATTCCCGGTTAACAATAGTGGTTAGTGGCTAAATTCTTACTGATTATATTCTGCCAATAACTATGTTCTTTTTTTTAGATTTTAATAAATTTTGCGCTGAAGAAAACAGCAGTGGTAATTATACTTGGGAAAAGACACCAGTTGACGTTTCAGTGATTAAATATTGTCCACAAGGAAAAATAGGTACAGTTTGTTATCTATTGAAATTTTGCTCTTTGGTTGTTGCTCTATCAGTCGTAAAATATTCCTAGTAAAGGTCATTACTTCTTAGCTTGCCTGCACTATAGTGCGTAAGAGCTATTGCTACAACATGACGTCCGCGTCCACACCAGATAATTAGATGAATGTTAAGATACTTTTAATTTAATATCAGTGACCTATTTCGGACACTTCCAAAGTAAAATGTTTCAAAAAAATATTTTCCCGACAAACACCAGTAAAATTAAAAAATGAGCGACATAGTGATTACGCAACACTAAGTGATCACCCGTGCCTGATTCCCAATATTTATAGTAAATTGTATTACTAATTGAACAATACAATATAATTCCTGAGATGCGAAGATCGAATTCGATCAAACAAATGCTAGCGAACAAACTGAGCCTAAAATTGTGCTGTCTTGAGGTCGACAAACCTTGTCCCTGAGAAATTCAAAATCACCAGCGAGACTGTAGTGAGTTAGTTAACAAAAAGCATGAAAAATTGCAAAATAACGTGTGAAAATCCTTTGCTGCGCGTTATAGACAATACAAATTCCTACATCACTTATATAAAAAACGTTCCAAATAATTTTTTTTATCTTTTTTCATCTTTTGCCCTCCCCCCTTTGCCATTTTGGTGGCCCTCTTTAACTGGGGGCCTGGGAAAAATTTTCCCATTTGACCCCCCCCCCTCTGGGAGGCCCTGTTTAATATTATGATGCATTTGAATTATCAAACTATAGGGCTTGTGTTAAATTAATTAGCATAAAAATGATAAGGTTAATGTTACGATAGATTAGCTTTATAATATGCTTTATACGTATTTCCGAAATACAGAACACACTCAAGCTTTCAGCACTTACCCATAGAAGGCAAGGAGGAGCTCAGGTGCGTTAATGACTGGGTCAGGTTTCACAGTGAGCATTAATTCATGAAAAATAAAAGAAAAATTATTTACAACGATTTTAAGATAAATTGACAGGGTTTTGGGCGTTAATGCCACTCAGCATAATTTTAGAATTTTTTTAACCGATCTAAATTTTTGTATCTGCGAAGCAGATATATTGCTATCGCAAACGTACCGTACCATACCGTACCGTACCGTACCGTATCCCTAGCCATTCAGCGACGAGCTTATATAATTTAAGCCAATTTAAGCCAATCAGCGATTCGTTTACATCAATTGTTTACATCGTGCCCGCATCTAACCTGCGAACGGGCATACTTTAGCCTCGTCAGGCCTCGTGTATAAATCGTGTTATTGTTTCATTAATATCTTGATATTTTTATCAATTTATCTTGAATTGGCTGTCTTTTTTTTATTCCGAAGTTATTTATCAACATGGAATCTTATCCTCATCTGGTAAGTAGTCAAATACCACATAATATATATTTAAATACCAAATTTGTGCAAATATATCTCCCACATATTTTATAATACATGAGTTCGCCAGTTCGGCGGCAAATATTTACCATACTATCTATAGTTAATATTGCCGTATCTTCGGCGTAGAGTTTACATGGAATGCACTCTGGAGTTTTGTTAATATTAATATACTACACTGTTAAAATATTGGATATTTTCGAGGATATTTTAAGCCATTTATCAACATAGTTCACAAAAAGATTTATACAGTATTAAAAACAATCCTTCTGTGACTTCTGTAATATTTTAAACAGTGAAAACATTCTCAGGAGATATTGAATTAAATCCTGGTCCTGTATTTCTGTATATTGACTCCATAACTCTGTTCAAAACAACAGTCCAACTATAAAGCTGTCATCAAATGTAGTGTTAGAGCAAAGGTTGAAGATGTTATCAGTTAAATTAAAATAATTATACATTTTGGTTTTACACATTAGAGTTTATAATTAACCAAATTTTAGAAACATTTTCAAATAAAAGAATCCTCACCCTCCCGAGCCTCATTACATTGTCATTTTGCTTTCTAACATAAATATTTTTCTTTAGAGATTAATACAAGAATGAATAATAAATGTACTGGATATTGGCTGGATAATTTTGTCAGAACAACAAACTTGCAAGACAATCTTACCTAAATTCATTAGTATGGAAAATAACTTAACAGCTACAATGAGTAATCATATATTATATGGTGGATTTGATCAATGGCACACAATGTACAAAACTAAACTTGTGATACCTTCTACTCAAACCAATAATCTCCCACAACACGATTGTTTTTGTGTGAATGTGCTGTACGTGTTAAACCGAACAGTGTGGTATATCATTAACTGTGCACAGAACTGGAATTTAATTATATACTTCACTCATGACCTTCAAAACATTCTCAATTATTCAGTGGTCTTCGACATGTTCACCAAATATTTTGTGTATGTTACTCAACAGTTAACATTGGCAAGTGTAAACAACAAGTGACATAACTTTTGCTTCATATGATTACAATAAAGTTTTGAAAATTTGATGAGTATGTATTGAATTGACAGGTGACAGTTTACTAAATAGCCGGCTGTATAGACACTTTGAATATTGTTTGCCTGAAATTTTTATTTCCTGACTGCATAATTATCTGTTACAATCATAATCACACTATAAAGTTAGTTAAATTCTTTTGCCCTGCTGCACTCCCCGCTGTGTACAGCCCTGTTTTAAATCTTATCTGCCATTATAATAAGTGATGACATATTTCAATTGTCCCATGTCATCTTCATTATTCAGTTTCTTTCAAGAAAATACAAAATCTGAATCAAGTTTTTTCGCAGATACATGTACGCCTTGCGTACCTATTTTTTAAAAACGTGTCACGTGACCAGTTATTGGTCTAAAATTAGCAACAAAAACATGGAACTTTTTCAACCACTTTGCAGGGAATGATTTAGCGTGTTCTCACTGAAAAATTCAATTACAAATAGATTGCCAAGGAACTCTTCTAACATATTCAAACTTGTATCCGTGAAAATGTTGTGTTATTGTTGTGTAAAATGGATCCAAAGTCAAAACAAGCGTTTCTACTTGAATATTTTCGATAATTAAAGCTACTTCTAATCAAAATCTTTTCGGTTTACGACTTTTCTCAAGAACTTGGACATATTTTGTAGATAATTAGCGCCTAATCCTTTAATGGTTGATAATAAAATCCTTTCCTGCAAAGCCATTGAATTTATGATTCAGCCGAGTAAATAAGTCGTAAAAACCGCCATTTTTGTCGAGTGAGCCCTGATTCTACACACAGCGGTTTCCCGCATAGCCATGGCAACAAAGAACGCTCAAAATGGAGATCATAATAACTCGAAGAGCAATTAGAGCATAAAGACATGTTTCCATACATATTTTGCTTTGCGCAAGGTTAAAACTGGCAATTGTAATACACAAAAATATATACATATCATATAATTGTTTTCATATACAAGTGAATGTCGAACGCACAGAACCATTCAGGTGACCAAATTATCTGCACAACTTCGCATTTAATAACCACAACATGCTGATGCTTTAATTTATAATTATAATACTACAAATCTAAAAGGCTACTAAGCATAAATTTCGCAGACAATATTGCACAGGATAAATCTTGATCGAGTGCTATAATGAAACAAGAGCCTTATTTATCAGTAATTTAAGATTATAATCTGTCAAAATTAGACGCGCTCAAAATATTGCAGCTAATGTATTAAAGTATAAAACAGCCTGTACAGATAAAGTGTACACGGCGAGAATACCAGACTGGCGCACAAACGGTGTATGATGAAATTAGCCGAGTATTCCAGCGAGTTTTTAATGTACCCCTTGAAAAGACCCTGACCACTTTTCCCACATTGAATATCCAAGTGAAGAAGATTTGTGCTGAGAAAAAAAGAAAGAAGAAATTATTTACAAAAGACAAAAGCTTGATTGGAAGAGCACTGGAAGAATACATCAGTTATGAGGTGAATAGGCTAAATACAATATGTCTGTGATGCAGTATATTAAATAGCTTCTAAGTTCTAACACAATCAAATTTGTTGCAAAATATATTTAACAAACAAAAATTATTCTATTTGTGGTTAATGTGTTAGAACATTTTACAGTGTTAGCTCATTGTTATTGAGGCAACTCTCATCCTGAGTCGAGGGCTTTTGTCAAACTTGCTACAGTATTATCTTATAGTTACCTCCCAAAGCTCCTGGCCACGGATTAAGCTTTGAGTATACATACAGTATATGCAATTTAATGCAAAGACAGAAATAATCATGTACAAGCACGGAATAACAAACTAAAATAATATACTTCTATATTCCTAAGATGCTGTAGTAACCGCTAGCAGCAACACAGCAATCACGACATCGAAGCAGGCATGCATGAAGAAGAGAACTTGGAAACTTAGATAACAAAATTTTGATAAGGAGAAAATGAGAGAAGTGAAAATGTATCCAGATAATATGGTTCTATACTGGTCAACCTTAGAAAGAAAGCATAACATCAAGAACACTCAGGGTGAAATAAAACAGACTGTGTGGAGGTCAAATTGCAAAAGAATGGCTAAAATCTGTTGGTGTTGACATCAGTCGATTCAAGCACAAACATGATGGGAATGATGAGAGGGTGCGAAGAATGAAACTCAGGGGACATGGTGGAGAAATTACTGATGCAGTGCCACAAACGATGGAAAGCGTCGATTGGACCGACGACAAATATGATAATCTGATGAAGAATTAAGTCTGACAAAATCATTGAAAGCTGAGGCTAAGCCTGTGCCTACCCTTGGACTATATTTTTGTAGTGTAAATGCACTTCGGCCTTGCCTAGGTCAGGAAATTTGGAACACCTGTTCTGATGGGCCCAGATATCCTGGCCTAGACCAGGCCAAAGTGTGTTTACACTACAAGAATCTAGTCCAAAGCTAGGCCTTGGCCAGGCTTTGGACTAGATGCTGAAGTCCATATTGTTACAAGGTCAGCCAATTGACCACCACAATTGCACTGTTTACAGTCACAAAAAACTACTAGGAAACATTCCCTAGT